AACTCAGACATCAATTTAGCCTATTTTTGAAACTTATACAAACACAACCATATAGCATGCATTCTTTTGAGTCTGGTTTCTTTTGTCCAAACTTATGTGTGTGAAATTGATTGTAGCCATAGTTAGTGTGCTGCACTGCTGGGCATGTTCTATGAGGTGAATGCAGCGTAATTTATTTTTCTGTGCACATTTGTGTGGTTTTCCGCTGTTTTGCTGCTGCGGACATTCTTGTGTATATCTTTTGGTGCCTGGTGTGCATTTCTGTTAGGGACATAGCCAGGGGTGGGATTTTGGCTCACAGGATATGTGTATAATGAATCAGAAACTGCTGAGTGGTTTTATAGAGCAGTTGTTCATTTGCCCTCTCACCATCAGTGGGTGAGCATTCTGGCTGCTCTACATCATTGTCCACACTTGATACTGTCAGTCTTTTCAGTTTTACTAGGACCATAAAAGCATTATGCTAATTTCCACCAAAAACAACACAAAAAAAAAAGGCCTGCTGGGATTTTATTTGGGATTATGTTGAACCTAAAGATCAATTTAACAATATTGAGCCTTCCAATCCATGAATATGGTATATCTTTCTATTTACTTTCCCTTAAAAATCTTTTATAGTTTTCAGTGTCTTGTTCTTTTGTCATTTATTCCTATGTGTTTATTCCTGTTTTTGATGCTATTGTTTAAAAATAATTTCTATTTCCATTTCTTTGTTGCCAGTGTATAGAAAGACAATTTTTGTATATGGACAGCCATACAATAATCTGGCTCAGGTCACTTATTAATTCTAATATTTTGTAGACTTTTAGATTTTTTATGTACACAATTATGTAATCTTCAGATAATGACAATTTTCTCTTTCCTTTCTAATATTTATAAATTTTATTTTTTCTTCTTCCCATGTTGTTCTGGCAAACACCTCCAGTGCAATGTTGACTAAAAGTGCCTTTTTTGGTAGCTGCTTTTATCAGATTAAGGAAATTCCTTTCAACTTCTCATTTGCTGAACTGTTTCCACAAATTCATTAGTGGATATTGAATTTTATCAAATGCTTCTTCTGCATCTATTGAGATAATCATATTGGTTTCCTTCTTTATTCAGTGAATGAGGTAATGTACACCAGTTGATTTTGGAATGTTAAATCAACCTTGTTCTTCAAAGATAAGCCTCCTTGGTCATAAAATGTTGTCCTTGTCATGTAGCACTGGAATTGATTTGCTAATACTTCATTTAGAATTTTTACATCAATGTTTGTGAATTAGCTTGGCCTGTTGTTTTCCTTTCTTATAATTCCCTTGTTAGGTTTTAGTGTCAGTGGGTGACTAATTCTTTCTGATTTTTCTGTGACTTTCTTGGTCTTAATACTGAAAGTTCCCATTGAAGGAATCTCTCAGTCCCAGGTATACGAGGACTGTTGATTGGTCACCTGAAGTGTCAGCTTTATTTGGCCTCATAAGTGAGTTGGAAAGTATTTCCTCTTTCCCAGTTCTCTGGGTTTTTGTAAGATTGGTATAACTTCTTTCTTAAATGTTTGAAAAGATTTACTCATGAAGTCATCTGAGCCTAGAATTTTCTTTGTTCAGAAGTTTTAAATTATGAATTTAATTTTTTTAACAGATATAGAAGTATTCTTCTTGTATCTGTTTTATAGTGTTTTGTGTTTTTTTTTCTCAAAGAATTTGACCATTTTATCTAAGTTGTCAAATTTCTTGGCATAGAGTTGCCAGGTCTTCTTTATTTTCTTTCAATTCTATTACTTAAATTTTTGTGTATAGGTCTTGCAGTATTTATTAGACTATTCTTAGGTGTTGGGCCATTTTTGATGCCACTGTAAATTATATCCCTTAAAATTTCCTGTTTGTATTCTTTGTTGCTGGTGACTCAAACTACTATTGATTTTACATTATTTTATATTGAAACATATCCAAAAGACTTGCTTGACTTACTTACCAGTTCTAATCATTCATCTTTAGAAATTTTTAAAAAACATATGTTTTATTAATTTCGGAGAGAGAGAAACATTAATGATGAGAGGGAATCATTGATCAACTGCCTCCTGAACGCCCCCTACTGGGAATCGAGCCCACAACCTGGGCATGTGCCCTGACCGGGAATCAAACCTTGATCTCCTGGTTCACGGGCTGATGCTCAACCAGTGAGTCACACCAGCTGGGCTAGAATTTTTAAGAGAGTCTATGTCAAAAAATATTTTGTCTATGAATAATGATAGTTTTATTTATTTCTTACCAGTACATAGTCTTTTCTTTTAAAGTTTCTTTCTTTTTTCCTTTCTTTTCCTTCTATTTCCTTTTCTCTTCTTTGGCTCAATATGTCTCTTCGGCTGTTGTTGCCATAGGCAAATCTTGCCAACTCCACCTTCAAAACAATCCCAAATCCAGCCCATCTTCACTGCACCACTAGCACCTCCGTCAAGTCCCAGCTGCGGGGGCAGAGGTTTTCAGCGGCCTCTGCTAGCTCCCCTGCGTCCCCCAGCCACCTGCCCTGCACTCAGTGCACATGTGCAGATCCCGACTTGGCCCTGCTCAGCCCCTCCTTGTTTTTTACCATGTGGAAATCAAACCAGAGTCCTTCCTCCCAATGGCCTGGGCCCCCCCATACTCTGCCCACCGGCCTCTCCAGGCAGGTAGGCTCTCCCCTAGTTCCTCAAACACCCCCAGCTCATCTTCCCCGGGGCTTTGGGGTTGATGGGCCTGTGCTTTCAACAACCTCCCTTCTCAGCTCATGAGACCCACTGTGTCCCGTCCCCGCATCTTGCCTGGAACACCACTTCTCCTCCTCCCCTCCCCTGCCCACCCCTCACTCAGCCTCTCCCAGCCTAGTCCCTTCCTAGCCTTTGTCACCACCTGAGACCACAGGTGAGTGCTTTGATCCCTGTGTCACCGGCTCTGAGTCTGGACGCCTGGCTCGTGGCAGATGGCCCATGAATATTTGCTGAATAAGTGAGTGCACGTTCCATATCCACCAACCCCAAAGGGCTCTCAGTCCCCTGGCCCAGAGCAGCAGGGCCATTTCTCTCCTGATAAGACATGTTAACATTGTGTGCAGGAACCCTCGGGACATGGAGGCCCCTAGGAACGGAGTGGCAGTGTCTCTGGAGAGTGCTGGCTGCAGACTCGTCAGCTTCCCTGCCTTTTGTCCTCGGAGCAGCTGTGAGTCTACCCGTGGGCTCAGTCACACGGGGGAGGGGCGTGTGTACGGCCCAGAAGCCCCCACCCAAGTGCTTTCCCTGTCCTCTTGGAGTGCTTGCTCAGCACTAGGCAGGCCCGCCTGTCCTCTTACATAAAAGGAGTGCCTGTGCTCCAAGGACTCTCCTACGTGACGTTTCGGCAAAGGTTTGCTTACCTTACTTACTAATTAAAGGGCAGCCACATTTTCCCCTGCCTGGTCCCCGCGGTCATGCTGCCGATGGCTACCTGATAGCCTCACGCAGGTTGGGTTACACGGTCGCCCGAGATCGTGCCATTTGCTGTGATGATTGAGTCGACAAGGCTGAGTGACTTGGTGGAAATATTTCCCGATTAGGCTACACCGTTGGCAGCCTGCTCACCATCTCGCTCACTTTTATAATGAAAAAGGAAATTCTCTGTGTTTTGAACGATGGCGGCTCCAGAAATGGTGAGTAGAGTGGGTGGTGGGGAGAGAAGGCGCTGCTAACTGGTGACCCCTCGCTGGGCATTTCGACGCTGTAGGACCTGCCCGGCTGCGGCCTGTTTGGGGAGGGCCTTCCTCACCTGGGTCCCAGGTCCCAGGAAGCATTTTCTCGTTTGTTCTTACTCTTGTTATAAAGTTCAGCTGTGTAATTTGCTGTGTGCCGATAGTTCACCAGCCGGAACCAGCAAGAATCAAACCCGAAAACGCTGCCTGTGGATTTACTGGGTTCTGAGATGCGCTTCAAGGCTACTCTTGCGATGGGAATGGAATTAACGTTTCTAGCGCACCACTTGTGCTTAGGTTTTCCTGTGACCATAGGAAGAGGAAGTTTGTTTTAAATGGCCTCATGGTTCCCTTCTGCATGTCAGATGTTACAGCTGCAAACAAAAAGGAAATTAGCAAGGTGCCCCCTGCCTGGTGCTCTGCCTGTTGGGACCCCACAGCTTGGTGAGGCAGGCGCCCGGAGGGGCAGGCCTGCTCCCAGGGACCTCGAGCTGCCCTGTGGCTGGGCCACTTGGTCATTCCCTTGCTCTCTCCACCCCTCGAGGGCCACTTGGTCATTCCCTCGCTCCCTCCGCCCCTCGGAGACTCACTGGGAATGACTTCCAAAGGCCCTGGCCTCTGGGGCCCTGTGATAGGGGGAGTTCTGGACGAGAGAGCCCAGTGCAGCTCCCCTGCCGCCAGCGTCGCCAGCCACTCCTCCCTTTGCTCTGAGTGTGGGGCGGGACCGGGCACCCCAAAGGCCCGGATACTTTCATCCGTAATTAGGTCACAGCTGTGCGGGCCAGGAAAGCTACAGATACTGTGGGCGAGTGTCCCCTCCCTGGTGCCGTTGACACGGGAGGGGAGCGGATATTATGTGAGTATCGGAACTTCTGGTGTTTATGGTATGGGTGTCCCACGTGCAGCCGGAGGGTCGAGTTTATGTGAGACAAACGGCAAAGACCAAAAAGAGAAGGAAGGTGCTTTGAAAGGAAATTTATCTTCTGTGAAGCTGTGGTACGGGGACCGCTAAACGGCAAAAGGGCGTCTCTCTGAAGATGTGTGTTTGGTTGATTTTAAGATCGGTCGAGCAAACATTGGGAAAGTCGTTATTTGAGCAGAATTAAGTTCATTGTTTTTCACTAACTCTAGAAGTTTCGTTGTTATCTGCTGTAGCTGGGGGTGGGAGGGGAATGCGTTCTCACCAAATAGTTTCGATCCATCGGTACTGAATTTGCTTAATGTGAATGGTCAGATTTCAAAGATTTAACACAACAAAGATGCGTTTGATGCTAAAACTACAAGTAGGGAAGCAAACGCTTTCTGTTCTTCCTGGCGAAGGAGGTGGAGGTGGAGGTGGAGCCGAACCTCAGAGGCCCTGAAATAGTCACCATGGGCGAGAACGACCCGCCCGCGGCCGAAGGCCCCTTCTCCTTCAGATCCCTTTTTGGCCTCGATGACCTGAAAATAAGTCCTGTTACACCAGGTAGGTGGAACCAGGTGTGATTTCTGTACCCCCCGGGCCCTCCCATCTAGATGACAAATGTGGTTGAGGGCTGAGTGTCCCTCTGGGGAAATATCCCCCCTTGAACACAGGCGATCCCTTGGTTTACAGAATAGGGGAGAGAAGGGGCGTCAGGGGGGTGTTTGTTCAGCCCCTGCTCCCTCCCTGGACGCGGTGTTTGTGTTCTCTGCCGGAGATTTTCAGAAATGGCTGCAACGGCCCCTGGGAGTTCGGGGCCAGGTCCTGGCCAGACTCTGAGCCCTCCGGGAAGGTCTGAGGGGCGCTCACCAGCCCCTCTGGAAAACTTACAACCAGCTGGACATCCCTGAAAGTATTAGATGCTTGGATTAAAATCCAACAGCAGGCGACAGAGTTGCTCCTGGCAGCAAAGGGAGGAAAGTTGGTTTCGTAAACAGGTTACAAATATTTGGAGAAACGGTGGACTCCATAGGAGTGCCTCTCCAGCCAGGATCTTTCTGGAAAGGGTACCACAGTGAGCTGTGCTCGCAGGTCCTGCATGCGGTCAGGAATTTTGGCCTCTGGGGCCGGGAAGGGGGACACCTGGGGGCTCTGGCCGAGGTTCCAGAAAGCATGAGTAGGGGGCACCCTAATGATTCCTTTGAGACCACAATTGATATCGAGGGAGGGGGAGTGGAGAGGATGGGAGATGGGAGGAGAGATTTCAAGTAAAAGAAAAGATACACAATTTAAAAATACTTCTCCAAAATTAACATAAATGTACATTTTAGAAGTACCCCCCACCTGCCCCCCCAGTTTCCTGGTTTTTATATCCGCATTTATTCTTGTCCTGTCATTGCCCGTGACTAGGCCTTCCCTCGGGGACGGGCGTTTCCCTCCTGCTGTTTGGTTTTTATAAATACCTTTTTAAATAACATCACAACATCCCATCAAGTATATGTGTAACTTACATAGCCATTTTATCATCATTCGACATACATTTCTAATATTTTTATAATATAAATAATAGGAACATGGGTAGCATTTTATACATACCTCTTTTTGCTGATTTTTGATGATTTCTTCATGATTAATTCCTAGCAGTGGGAAGGAACAAAAGCTATTTAAAACTTTTCTTTTTCAACAAAGTGATGTATTGTTCATGATAGGAATTTGGAAAATACAGTCAGTCAAAAAGATTTTGTAAAATTGTCCACAATTTTACCATTGCTCAGGGATGACTCTTTTAGCCTGTTTCCTATCAACGTATCTGTATGTCCCCTTGGAAGTGACATAGTCTCTTTGTATCATTTTGAAGCTTTTCCTTTGAACTAAACAATGTCATGTTTATTTTTCCACAGCATTAAATAAACATTCTTCAGGGTTTGGCAAACTATGGCCCATGGGCCAAATCTGGCCCACTGTCTGTTTTATAAATAAAGTTTTATTGGAACACATCCATTTATTCACATATTGTCTATGGCTACTTTCATGCTATGCTAGAGTTGAGTGGTTGCAACAGAGACCATATGGCCCATAAAGTTTAAAATACTTACTATCTGGTCCTTTACAGAAAAAATTTGCCATTTCTCTATCATTTGTCTCTATACCTTTTGTTATTCCATCAGTTTTTTCTGTTGGTCATTTAGGGTGTTTCCCACGCATCAGTATTATAAATGTCGCTCCTCTAAGTGTGCTTGTAGGTAGACATTTGTGTATATCTATGATGACATCTTAGGATAAATTCCTAGAAGGGGATTTACTAGGTCAAAATTTCCATTCATTTTTAAACTTTTAGTACGTATTTCAGATTTGACTGTGAAAAGGTTTACATAATGTAAATTGACTATTAAGTGGAGGCCTGTTTCCTTTCACTTTGGACTGTAGTGATGATGATGGTGGTAATAATAATAATAAATAATATATTGGGAAGTTGATATGTAGTTATCTCTAATTTGTGTTTTTTACATCTCCAGAGAGTTGAAAGTGTTTTTCTGCTTGTTTATAATTTTTATGCTTGTATCTTGCTCTTTGGTCTAAGCCCATCCTCAGAGACAGAACAAGGGATGGGTGGGGCCATGGTAGCGCCCCCAGGGCACTATGGTGGAGCAGTGAAGGGTCAAGGTGAACTGACACAAAGGTTCTAGCTGAACAACCTTTGACTCTACAACCTGGATTCGCTTCCTAAATTAACTCTTAGATAAAGAACTGAAACACTATGAAGTCATTCTTGAGGTTCCTGCCGATTTTTAATGTAAATGGGGAGAAGGCATCTCAGCGGGGGAGACTCGTTAACTTGGTGCAGGCTTGTGGGGTGCGGGGGAGAGTGGACAAGAGGCTTCTGCTCTGTTAGCTCAAGACCCAGCCCCGGTTGCCTTGGAAGGAATTGGTCTCTAACCCTGAGATAAACAGCCTTCCTTATGTCAGTCAGTCATCCATCTATCCATCCATTGCATTTACTAATATTTATCAAGAACTGCCAGGCGCCAGGTGCTATTCTAGGTGCTGAGAATGCAAATGTGAACACACCGCTGCTCTCTCCCCACCTCGCCTCCTTTCACTCTGTCCCTCATGGTCCCTGAGGACGGCATGTGGCGAGTGTTTCCTTATTTCCCTGGGCTTCTTACCCTTTTCTTTTGTTTACTCTTTCCTCCTTTCCCTCCCCTTCCACTTCTCCCCCCCATATTTGTATTTAAATTTTCTTCTTTTTAAGGTTGCCCTGAATGATACTGGCATTTTATAATCACACTATTGCCAGAAGGTGAAGTTGTGTGTTTCCAAAGACAGCTAGGGAGAGGTGTTGGCTCCTCCATGGGAGACCTCTTGGCTCAACATCTCCAAGACCAGGAGGAGAGAGGCAGGGGCAGTCTCTGTCCTGCGCAATGGCATGGCCCCTAGAAGGCTTTCTTTCCTTCCTCCATTCCAACCTTCCTAATTTAAGGGACAACAACTTGAGCGTGGTTGTATTTTCGGGATTGATGAGATAATTTGCATGAAATGGCCTTCCTGTTCTTCGGACGGTAAAGGGGGCGGATGGAGATTCTCCTGGTTGTACAGAGAGGCCTGTACTTCTAGATATCTTACTGCTCTTCGCATCTCCTTTCCACCCAATCTGCCTGGTACTTTAGGCAAGAACTGGGAAGGGTCTGGAGCAAGCTAACAAGTCAGACTGCCACAGTTCCATGGATGCTGGCAGAGACTCACGGGTCAGACGCAAAGGACTTTGTTACCCACAGCCCAGGCGGCACCTGCATCCTGTTTGAGTTGTTGCTCTTGCCCACCAAGTCCCATGGAGGTGACGTGGAGCAGCCCAGTGGGTTGCACACACAGTGGGTCTGCATTTCCAGCTGAGGAACCCACAGCTAAGGGAACCTGAATCTTTATAATGGACTATATAAGCAGACCTGCACAAACTGCCTCAAAGCGAGACATTATATTTATTAAGCTGGACAGTAAATAAACCTGCCCCTTGCTCTAGAGAGACACTACCTCTTCTGAGGCTGTTTGCTCTGCCAGCATCCTCAGAAAGTTCACGTTCTGGAACCAAGGCCGTCAGTGCTTTGGTGCACGAGACCCATGAAGAAGGGTCTGCTGCACCATCTGGTCACCCTCTCAGAGGTCCCAGCTCCCCCTCTCCTGAAAGTACCCTGTTTGGATTTACATATCACCCTCCTCTGTGGGAAAATGTCTTTGAAAGTTGGTGTCCTACTTTCCCTCCGTTTTGGTTTCCTAGGGCCACCGGAACAAAGTGACACAAACTAGGTAGCTGAAAACAACAGAAATATTGCATTACCTTTCTGGAGGCCAGAAGTCTGAAAGCAGACCTTGGCAGGACCCTGCTCCCTGAAACCTGCGGGGAAATCCTTCCTGCCTCTTCCTGGTTTCTGGTGTTTTGCTGGCGATCTTTGGTGTCCCTTGGCTTGTAGATGAATCACCCCAATTTCTGCCTTTACTTTCATGTGCTTTCTCCCATATCATCGTGTGTGTGTGTGTGTGTGTGTCTGCATGTATGCCTGTATGTCTGCCTCTGTGTTCGAATTTCTCCTTTTTGTAAGGACACCAGACCAATTAGGGCCCACACTGATCTCTCAATTGAACTTCATCACCTCTGTAGACTCTGTTTCCAAATAAGATGACATTCTGAAGCCCTAGGGGGTAGAACCACAACATATCCTTTTGAGGACACACCATTCAACCCATAACACCATCCCTTGACCCAGGATGAACAGAACTGGGTCAGAGTCGGAGAGTGTGGGGCTAGACTTCTAGAGAATGTGCCCCTGGTGGGTGGCCCTTTCTCTAAGTTAGGGCTGGAACATTCTCTGCATTGGAGGGAAAACGAATAGCTAAATTTTAAGTTTTCTCTTACTCAAATTTGTTGCTCTGGCTTTTTGCCCGCCCTCCCTTCTGGTTTGCAGATGCGGATGCAGTGGCCGCACAGATCCTGTCGCTGCTGCCACTGAAGTTCTTTCCAATCATCGTCATTGGGATCATTGCACTGATCCTCGCGCTGGCCATTGGTCTGGGCGGTGAGTATGAGCTGTTATTTAGCAGGCTCTCAGCTACCTATCTGGGCACTTAAACTTTCATGAGCTCCCCCACCCCAGCGCAGCGCCACCACCCAGCCTTAATTACTGGAGGCAAACATCCTTCGGCTTCGCTGGCTTTGAGTCTGATTTGCCTGCGTGAATGTAAAGCCAGCCTGAGGCCCAGCAGGGGCTGCTGGCCATGCTCGGGGCTTTGTCACCACAGAACCTGCCCGGTTAGAAGTGTCCACAGGCAGCCGATGAAATAGAATCCGCGGGCAGGAGGGGTGCAGGGCTGGGTGGAGAAGACAAGGAGGCCATTCAGGCCAGGCCAAGCACGTCTGCTATTTTTAAAAGGCCAGGCAAGTGGCTTTTGAGAAAGCGAGTCCTTTGGATGGTCTCTAATAGGGAACACTTTCCCATTCTCTCTTTCAAATACCTGGAATACAGGTCAGGGTGATTGTCCACTGTGGTGTGGTCCCCAGTCCTTTCACTAACTGCCCAGAGTCAGCGACAGCGGGAGGCAGACAGGTGGGGGGGTGGGGGCCTCACTCAGCCCCCCCCCCTTAACTGGCTCTGCCGGTCGGTCTGTGCACTGTCTCTCTTGGCCCTGAGCCCTCCAGGGCCTAAATTCGCCTCCAGTGGTGGCTCAAGGCCACTTAGTGAGACAAAGCGGGGCGCAGCAGCCCCACCCCCTGGAATTTGGAACAGAAGCTGGGCTGTGACACAGGTGCCTTACTGACGGGTGAGCTGGAGGCCGTGGGCAGGCGGATGGTCGTTAGTGCTGCGCACTGAGGGAGCCCCTGTTGACGTTCCCGCCTTCTCCTGTCCCCAGTCCACTTCGACTGCTCCGGAAAGTACAGGTGCCGGTCGTCTTTTAAGTGCATCGAACTGACGGCTCGATGTGACGGCGTCTCGGACTGCAAAGCCGGGGAGGATGAGTACCGATGCGGTAAGGCCCTGCCTCTTCACTGCAGACACGGGGAAGTCGGCACCACCCTGCCCTCGCCTTTCTCAGCTGTGAAATGGGTCCAAGTCCATGCCAGAGTCTAGCTAGGTCCTCAACTGCGATCCAGCTGGCACCCAGGAGATCCTGGGCTGGGTGTTAAGGGAGGGGCATTCCATGAAGCTTAAATTGTTGGGGAGACCACGAGCAGGAGAGCTCAGGGGGTCCTGGCAGTCGGAGGTCCCTGCAAGGGGGGCCTCTGGGCGAGGGGCAGCTGAGACTGAGCGGAGGAGGGCCCGAGCTGCTGCAGAGAAGGCTTTGCGGCCTCAGGGCTCTGCAGGCCACCAACGGCGGCTGTCCGCGCCGGCCAGTCCGCGTGAGCGGTCAGAATGGCGTGCTGCAGGTGTTCACAGACGCCGCCTGGAGGACTGTGTGCTCCGACGACTGGAAGGGCCACCACGCCAACGTCGCCTGCGCCCAGCTGGGCTTTCCAAGGTAACTTAACGGGCACTTCCAGGCTGTGGGTAAAACATTCGTAGCGACCACGGCGAGACAGCCACCGCGCCATCCGGCGCTCACAGGGCGCTGCGCCCACGTGGCAGCCCCACGATGCCGGGCATCCTCACGAAGCTGCGGCGCAGCGCCTGGGAAGCTGCGGGTCGGTGCCGCGACCTTGCTTACGTTTCTGCACAGCTCAGGCTTCACTGAGCTTTGTTCCACGTAGCGGGTGTGTTGGCGAGTGAGGCAGGCCGGGTGCTTCGTGTTTTGCTCACGCCACAAAGAAGGGGAAGTGGGCATCATTACCCATCTCCCCTCCCGCAGCTCTTTTCAAAGTTGGACCTCCTTTCCCAGTGTTCCCCGGAGACCTGCTCCCTGACGCTCTCGCCATTTGCTTGCTCCTGGTGTCCCCCGATCTCTTCCTCCTGTGTGTTCATCTCTCCAGCGGGGACCATGCCCACTCCAGGCAGACTGGGAAATTATTATCCCTGACCTGTTGTTCTTGGGGTGCTCAGCATCCCGACTGTGGTGCCCACCTGAAAACACCCGCCCAGTTCTATATTCTGTTCCCTCCGAGGCTTGCAGAGGCCAGCCGAGGTCAGTGCAGCTGAATGTCAGGGGGCCCCCCAGCTGCATCGGGAAGTGATCCTCCCACCAGGCGCCCGGAGCCTGTGCTCGTGGATGGAGCTGCAGGGTGGGGCTGACCGTCCACCATTCCAGACTCCGCCAGGCTTAGAGTGCCTTGGTACACTGGCAAGAAGAAGCCATTGATGGTTTGGGGGACACAGTGGCATCCCCCAGGAGGATACCTATGATGCTGTGACGGGCATATTGACAGTTTGGGGGAATACAGTGACGTGTCCCTCTATAGGATAGCTGCAGTGCTGTGACTTGAGCACACTGATGATTTGAGGGGACATGGTGACATCCCTCAGTAGGATACCTGTGATGTGACTTGACCACACTGATAGTTTGGGGGATACAATATGTTCCCCAGTGGGATACCTGTGATGCTGTGACTTGGGCACACTGACAGTTTGTGGGGACATGGTGACGTCCCCCAGTAGGATACCTATAATACTGTGACTTGGGAACAAATCAATTGGGAACACGGAATAAATTTCTTGTTGCATCTGTGTTTCCAATGCTCTCGCAGCTACGTCAGTTCGAACACCCTCCGAGTGGACCTGCTTGAGGAGCAGTTCCAAGAGGACTTTGTCTCCATCAATCACCTCTTGCCGGACGACAAGGTGACTGCCCTGCACCAGTCAGTGTATCTGAGGTAAGTGCCAGGCAGGGCTGCCGTCTGCGCTGTGTCGTCACGTCATTGCTGCGTTCCTAAGGCTGCGCTGTCCCCCAGGGCACAAGACGCATGAGAGTGTTTTCTCCGGGTGAGGCTGGGTGGGCACAGCGGTTGCAAGGACCTAACCCCAACCCAGCACGTGTGGCCGACAGGGACAGGGTGGAGGGAGGGGGGAGGACCAGTGACGCGCACATCAGAGATGCAGCGCTGTGGCTCACGTCGCCGGGCCCGTGTGGAGGGACAGAAGGAGGGAGGAAAAAAATTAGAAAGAATTAAGAAAGAAACATGTCTGTCTTTGCTCACAAAGCCCTTTAACGGGTACCATTTACATTTCATGTGTCCCCTGACAACCCATGAGGTGTCCTTAAGTGACAGGTACCTGAAGCTGAGAGGGTCCCCTGCCTGGTCGTATCGCCAGTGGAGATGCCATCAGGGGTTCCAAACCCACCGTCCAGACGCTCTTCCTGGTGCCTTGGCCACACCCCGAGAGGAGTGTGTCCTCTGCTCTGGGAAACAAATTTGTCATCCTGTCCATCCTGTAACGACAGCCAACCCTGGGACACACATGCAGTCGTAGGGACAGCTGATCTCATGATGGGACTGGGGCTCTGACGGCAGGAAAGTTACAAAGGAGTCCGGGTGGATTATGACAAAATCAGGTGCCCAGCTCCCAGCCACGCAGGGGGAATGTGTGATTCCGGGTCGGTCACATCTCCGCTCCGGGAGGGGTCCTCTCCCAGGTGTGTGTCCCAGGTCGCAAGGATTCGAGCCGGGAGAGCCTGCCATCCATCCAGTGGGCACTCCGTGTCCGCACACGGCGCTGCGCCCCAGCCGGCGTTTTTACCTGAAGTCTGCTGCACAGGCTAACCTGTAATCTGTATTCAAGAGCAGGGAGTAGGGTTTATTTTTCTTCTACCCCGAGATTAAGTTAAAAAAAATGTTCATTTCACAGGCCTTGGGTGTTTACCACTAAGGCCCCACTTTTTCCACTTTAGGGAGGGCTGTGCCTCGGGTCGTGCGGTCACCTTGAAGTGCACAGGTAAGACTTCCAGAAGCACCGGGCGGAGGGGAAGCAAGCGCGCGCTCGGGGACTCTTGCCCCCGCGCCTCCTCCGCGGAGCCCCTTCCTCCCAGGTGCCAGGTGGGCGTCTGTGGGCTCCACCTCGCTGTAGTGGCTCCAGCAACCTGCCTTTCTCTTCCCTCTGCCCCCTCGAGGGAAAGTGCCCCAGACCCCCCAGGGGCTGTGCCTTAATCCTGGCAGGGGCACGGGGGTGCTGCCGGGGTTGGGTCTGGAGAGCCAGGCAGGTGCACGGAGCACCTGTGTTAGTGAGGAGGGGCCGTGGGGGTCCCCCGAGCTCCTGGTGTGTGGTCAGCATGCTGGAGGCAGGTGCAGCTGGGGGGGGATGCTGCCAGCATGGGGCTCTTGGCTGTGATGGACTCTGCCCCGCCACACTCCACTCGTCCCGCATCTCGGGTGACCTGCCCCCACCCCTCACCCCTGCTCCCCCCCAGCACTCTTCCCGGGCTGTGAGCTCTGTGAGGGCGGCGGGATGTCAGGGGGAGGAGAGGTCTGTGGGACGGGCCCCCAACCCTGTTCTCCCCGGCAGCCTGTGGCCTGAGGATGGGCTACAGCTCGCGAATCGTGGGTGGAAACATGTCCTCGCCCGCGCAGTGGCCCTGGCAGGCCAGCCTCCAGTTCCAGGGCTACCACCTGTGCGGAGGCTCCGTCATCACCCCGATGTGGATCGTCACCGCTGCCCATTGTGTTTATGAGTGAGTGCTCCCGACCCCTGGGTGTGGGCCGGTCCGGCCGCATTGGGACAGGGCCGTTTGGGTGGTCAGCAGCAGGCCAGAAAGCAGGCAAACAGACCAGACGATTGCAAGTAATATCCACTGGAGGGACCCTCCCTCCTCACCGGGGACCCACCAAGGTCAACTTCGTGGATCTCAGACCCTTGGTCCTTACAGAAAAGATAGTAAGCGCTCATGCAGGGGAAACCCACCAAGGTAAAGGCCTCAGACTCTTCTCTCTCGTGGCCCAGAGGGTGAGAGAGAGGGCAGGCTGGGTGGGGACAGAGTCTCCCAGAGCAGTCTCCCTCAAGGGAGGTTAGCACAGGAGAAAACCATAGAAAACCCTCGGTTGTTTTTACTCCCTGTCAGTTTTACCTCCCTCAGAGGTGCAGGAGGGAGGCCAGGCCACTGAAGGGAACGTGTGGGGTGGGCCCGTGCTTCTGCAGGGCGTGGGGGCTCAGGTAGGTGCAGACACAGGCCAGCAGGGCCGTGACACATTCACCATCTCCCTGGTGCTGGATCTGGGGTCACCTGGGCTTTTCCCGCTTTACCTCTCAGTCTCCTCCTTGCAGCCTGTACCTCCCCAAGTCATGGACCATCCAGGTGGGGCTCATTTCCCTGCCTGACAGCCCGGCCCCCTCCCACCTGGTGGAAAAAATCATCTACCACAGCAAGTACAAGCCGAAGAGGCTGGGCAATGACATCGCCCTCATGAAGCTGGCGGGCCCGCTCACCTTCGACGGTACGTCTGGATTCCAGGGCCGTTCTGTGGCTGCCTTTAGTTTCAGGAGACTCTGTAGTTGCTTGTTGGAGCGTGTTTAGGACACACCTTAGAGAACTCGTCGGGCAATTGCAACACCCGGCTCGGTTCAGCGCTGGCATCGGTCGATGCTCTTCTCGTGAAAGCGGGTTTCCCCGGTGCTTGGCGTGATGGGAAGTTTCCAGTCGTATTCTGGACATTCGGGCCATTATGTTAGGAGACGCAGGGTCCTACGCGCATCTTCACTGTTAGCAGGCGCTCACCCGGCTCAGGTTCACCGTGCAGGTCTCGGTCTACCTTTGTGGGCCGTGGGCCGTGGTCCTGAGGATAATTTGATTTCAGAGCCTTTGTGGTTCTACTTTGGTCCATTTGGTTTGTCTGGTCCCCTTAGGGCTCCCACTGGTGCCACTTTCTTCCTATGGTGCCACCTGGAGATAAAAGGGACTAGCCCAGGGCAGGCCAGCTGGTGCCTCTAGGTGGTGGAAGGGGGTATCTGGACTGTGGGGACAAAGAGCGTCCTCTGTCAGGTGCTTGTTGTGGTGAGGGCCCCTGCCAGTGCCAGCCACCTGCCCAGTGTCTCGATCTCGGTCAAGAGAGGGACAGAGAGAGAGAGTGCTTCCCAGGCCGGTCGGCCGGTGGTCGTGGGGTCCTTCCTGCAGCCATTTCATTATAATCTGGAAGATACTGGGCATCTTCAGCTCTTCAAAATACTCAGAAACATTCTCTCTCCATTGGCCGCTGAGTTCAGCAGCCTCCAACTTTCTACTGGATGTTAGGACCTGGATCCAGGGGGTTATAACAAAGCCACGCAGGGTGGAACTTTTAAACTTTTTGCAGCTGCAAACAAGGCATCGTGAGCCCACTTCCAAATAAATTATAGCCACACGGTTACAGCAGCTTGGAGTGCAGGTGGTGGTGGTGGTGGGGGGGTAAGCACAGCCCGGTGTAGGAGCAGGACGCTGGCGCCAGACCAGCGGCAGGGGTCACGTGGCAGTCATCCGCGTGCTAACCACATGGCACATGGCACACCCTGCACGTAACACTGAGACAAATACTTCTAGAGAAACAAAGAGAAACTGTAATGGTGCTGCTTGTTTGTTCATTGTTATTAATGATGCTTGATTTATGCTAAATGAGGTGCCAACGCTTGTACTCTGATAAAATTAAAATGACCCCTCCCCATAGTCTTTCTCCACCTTTCCATTGTTGTACCCAGAAAAGCTTTCCATGCCTTAGACTGTGCTCACGTGAAAGCCCCGTGACACTGATTCTGGTGGACGCTTAGGTGACACAGCCACATGGGCAGGCAAGCTGCTGCCTCCGGGTATGTCAGGAGGGACAGGAGTGTCCATGGAGGGATGCTCTGTAAGGCCAGGCTCCCACAGTCTGGACAGGAGTGGGCCAACCGTGGCCAGTGGGCCAAAATTGACCCTTTGCCTGTTTTGTAAATAAAGTTTTATTGGAACACAGCCACACGCATTTGTTTACCACTGCCCATGGCTGCTTTTACGCTACTGTGGCCCGGTCGAGTGGGTGCAATGGAGACCACTTGGCCTGGGAAGACTAACCTAGTTACATTTGGTTCTTTCTGGAACAGATGCTGACCGTGGTCTAGACTCATGGAAGCTGCCACGGTCTAGGGCTGTTTTGAAGTCTTAGGGTTCTGGTGAGGGAGGGTCCCTGCTCTGAGCTAGTAGCTGTCAGTGACCTTTGGGAGATCTCCGGTGCCCCGCAGAGAGGAACGCGCCCATGAGACTGTTTCTCAGACAGTGTGTGTGTTGTTACCTCTTTACAGAGATGATCCAACCGATTTGTCTGCCCAACTCTGAAGAGCACTTTCCTGATGGAAAGATGTGCTGGACATCAGGATGGGGGGCCACCGAGGAAGGAGGTCAGTGGTCTGAAACCGAGTCTGAGCCCAGGGAGCAGAACAGAGAGGGCCGGGATTGATGACCGCACCCACACCTCCCCGCCCGCGGCCCAGCGCAATGTTCCCGCGGGATGCCCACAGGTCCCCGCCGCGGGTGCGAGTTGACTGCTCCCACAAACACGCAGGCAGCCGAGTAGTTGTGGGTCGTGAGTCACTATTTCATTTGTCTTGGGTGGTGAAATCACAGACTTTCTGGGGAGAAAGGTAAATTATGAAGGGCACTGTGGGCGCGCCCATGGAGAGCCCTCACCACCGCACCGGGGGGTTCCCCCGCCTCCTCCCCGCCCGCCTCCTCCCTCCGCGGACTCAGGGCAGAGGCGCCCGTAGAGACCCCCCCCTCCCGAGGTGCATTCGGGAGACAAACTCCCAACCGGAGAGGAGCTTCTGTCTTGTGTGACTTTGGTAGACGTGTTATTTCATCCTACAAAGATCAGAGCAAACAAACAGGAGCTCGTTGCTATAATCACAATATAATTAGTAACAATAACAAAAAAATACCTGTGAATGAAACCTGGGCCATCCGTTCATCAGTATGGGGCACAAACGTGGTCACAGTTCTCAGGGTTTCCATCGATTGCTTTCCTTATTAGTAGGACTGTTCATTTCCTGGGGCTGTTGTAACAAATTACTATAAACCCGGTGGCTTGAAACCACAGACACTGATTCTCTCATGGTCTGGAGGCCACAAGTCTGAGATGAAGGTGTTGCAGGGCTGGTTCCCCCCAGAGGCTCTGAGGGAGAACCTGACCCTGGCCTCTCTCTGGGTCCTGGTGGCTCCAGCCACCTTGGTGTTCCTTGAATTGCAGGGGCATCACTCCAGTCCCCGTCACTGTCTTCACATGACCTTCCCCCTGTGTCCCTGTCTCAGGTCCCCCTCTCCTTTCTCATATAGGAACAGCAGTCTTTGGAGGCAAGGCCCACCCTGATCCAGGGCGATGTCACCTTGAGGTTCTTACCTTAATGACACCTGCAAATGTTCTAAGGCTGCAGGTGGACATTTTTGGAGAGGGGGCACAATTCAATCCAAGACAGGAGGTTCAGTATTTTCCTATTGAGACTTATTAGCTGAGTCTGTCACCTCCTGAGAGTCCAAGGCACACGGGGCTCACCCAGATCCAGAGGCCAGTCCCCCCAGCTCAGGGTCTCACCCCTGCGGCTGGCTACGCCTTCCTGCCCGTAGCGGAAGGTGCTCCCACAAGTGCTTTGAGCTTTGTTTCACCACATACCAGGTGCTGAGCTGAGCTCTGGATGCTGCCTGGGCTCAGAGCAGCCCCCGAGGGGGGTGTCTATGTTCGTGCCCATCTTGAGGACAAGAACACGGGTGCTGAGCGCCTTGCTTGGGCTCACGCAACCAGCTGGTGGAAGGCCTGGGGTTCTGTGTTCATGCTCCTCACGCATGTCCCCATTCATACTGTTATTCATGGACTTGGAGTGTCCCAGGAGGAGGTTTCATTGTCTTTGCTGGATCCTTGTGTACCGAGTAGGGACAGGGCCCATCTCAGCCCAAGCTCATGGCCAGGTGGTCCCCTCTGCAGGGCTGGTGGACCTGTGAGCAGATCGGGGAAGTCCGTGCAGAAAACACTGTGTAACTCACACTCATAGAACAGTTAAAAGGAGGGTTTTGCAGAGAGCAGACCCACACCTGCGGATACGTGCTACAGGAATGAGAATTGGGGTGAGCCCTGCTTTAAGCCTATGAAGCATAAAGATAATCCAGTTTACAAACAGGTTAAGTTAGAGGGCGTCGGTCTTGTTGGGGTGGAGCTGAGGCTGATGCACAGCAGTTGTATTAGTTTCCTGTTGCTGCTGCAACAAGTGACCCCAAACTCAGTGGCTTAAAACAGCACGAATGCATTGTTTTCACAGCTGTGGATTGGAAGTCCCACAGCAGGCTTGGTGGGCTGGAATCAGAGTGTCAGGAGGCTGTGAGGCTTCTGGAGGCCGCATACCTTGGCTTGTGGCCCCTTCTTCCATTTTCAGAGCCAGCAACACAGCCCAGGGTCCATCTTGCTCCTCTCTGACCTCTGTTTCCATCATCACATAGTCTCCTCTGACCCTTTCAAGGATCCTGTGATTACATCTGGACTCCACCTGGGTAGCCCAGGATCATGTCCCCATCTCAAGTCTGCGAAGTCCCTTTAGCCGTGGAAGGTGACATGGTCATAGGTTCTGGGGATTGGGACACGGATGCCTGTTGGGGGGCATTTTCCTCTCAGCCACCCCAAGGTTCCTCCAAGAGCAGTGTGTGACCTTCACGAGCCTCAGTTTCCCTTCTGTGACCCAGGTTGCTCTGAGAACAAAACAGCCTGGTGCGGATCAAGTGCTTGACCTTGGGCAGGTCCGTGGTGGTGACAGTTGCCCCGTGTCAGTCCCGTTAGGGAAGTGGGTGGCTCTGACCTGAAGCAGCAGGGCCTGCATGGCCTATCATTAAGGAGAGAGCCCCAGGGCCCGCTGGTGCTCATGGTAGGCCCACCCCCACCCTCCTGCCATCCACCAGCAGGCATGGCTGTCCCCACCACTGAAGTGTTGGTGGCGTACCCTTGGCCCTGGTCCCCACCCCGGGTGCAGCCCCTTTGAATTCCTCACTACACGCCCCCCTTCCTCTGACACAGGCGACGCCTCCCCAGTCCTCAACCACGCAGCTGTGCCTTTAATCTCCAACAAGGTCTGCAACCACAGGGACGTGTACGGTGGCATCATCTCCCCGTCCATGGTCTGCGCGGGCTACCTGAAAGGTGGTGTGGACAGCTGCCAGGTAGGGGCCTGAGGTGACCTCCAGGGGCCGTGGCTGGGGTCAACGCGAGGCTGTTACGGTGGCCCAGCCCATGGAACAGGTCACTGCCAGCATTTCCCTGTGACCGATCGAAGAGCAAATTTACAGGGTGTGGAGAAGTTTGCTCAAGATATCGCACCCTTTCCCGGCCACCCGTGCATGCCCAGCGCTCGCACCCGGCCCGGGCCCTGGGTGGAAGGAGGGGTCTCGGGGGTGCTCCCTTCCCGACCCCTGTCCTCAGAGTTTGCAGGGGGACAAAAGAATCCAAAGGCAGGTGCGAGCCTGTGAACGTGGGCCTCCAAAGCCACAGCGGGTGAGACCCCAAGCCTACCTGGGTCTGGAGGTCGGCTGAAGCCCCCTGGCCCGGCAGCCCCTCCCTCTGAGAGCTCCCCCTTGGCTGCACGCAGCCGCCTTGCCCTAGGGGTTCCCCGTGTGTGGAATCTGTCGGGGGGACAGCTGGGGGACTATCCCGGGGGATAGAGGACCCACTATCAGGAATGCTGGGTCGGCTCTGGAAGGGTGAATGCAGAACCGCTCTTGGGCTGGATTTTGTGACTCGGTGACCAAGGAATCCTGCACGAGGACAAGGGACAGCCGTGATGGCACCTGTTCTGTCCCCCTTACTCTCTCCTTGCTGTCTAGGGAGATAGCGGGGGACCCCTGGTGTGTCAGGAGAGGAGGGTGTGGAAGCTGGTGGGAGCAACGAGCTTCGGCATCGGCTGTGCAGATGTGAACAAGCCCGGGGTCTACACCCGCATCACCTCCTTCCTAGACTGGATTCACGAGCAGTTGGAGGTGGGTGCTGTGCCTGCCCGGCTCCCCTGGTCCCCACCAGCCCCCCTCTGTCGCCGCCATCCTGCTGTAGGGAGCCGGGGAGGGATCAATCGGTTGTTGACTCGCCAGCAGTGACTCTGTGGCTCTCAGGTGTCGGATGTGAGCAGGCTCACCCACCGCTAGGCTCCGTGTGGGAGTGGCCCTGGTGGGGTGGGCGCGCGTGGGCGACCGTGCCTCCGCCAACTGGGAAAGGAGGAGAGGCGGCGGAGAGGAGTTCTCGGGGACGGGGACGAGTAGAGTGGGCATGTGTGCGTGGAGCAGAGGGTAGGCCAGGGCGGGACAGGTGGAGGAGCGCCCCCAGTGCCCACCGAGGGTGGGAGAGGGGAGCCCTGGAGATGGCGGGGAGGGAGAATGGGACACCCAGGGAAAGGAGCTGAGCGCCACTGCCACCGCTGACGCCAGAGGCCGGGTGGTAACAGCTGCCCCCTGAAGCAGGTAGTGAGGCTGCGGGGAGGTGAGGCCAGGCCCACAGGAGCCTGGAGAGCAGGGCACCTCCGCCTCGTGGGCACTCAGCAAACGTTTGCTGACTTGATCTCAGACTCTCAGCCCCACATCACACATCACTCTTGGGACCAGTTTCAAAGACTTTTTTTTTTTAAATTTAAATTGAGGCAAAATTTACATAACATAAGATTAATCATTTTAAAGTGAACTGTCCCACGGCATTTACACATTCACAGTGGTGTGCAAGCACCGCCTCTAGTTCCATGACGTCCATCGTCCTGAAATAAAACCCCACTAAGCAGCCACTCCCTTCCTCTCCCTCAGCCTCCGGCATCCAGGAATCTGCTCTCTGTCTCTGGGGATCAAAGACCTTTGTAAAGGCTCCTTTTAACTTGAAACAACAGGCCAAGAAGGACTGAGACTCCATCCACCTTGGGTGTGAAGTTCCACTTCTTGGGAATTTTTGCTTTAGACGAGGAGACACGTAGTGGTTCCTTTTGTACAAGGCTGAGGCCCTGGCCTGGGACTCAGTGTAGTGTGAACTCCAGTCCTGCTGCTGTGAGCTGTGCCCTCTGCAGGTGCCCACAGTTCCTGCCTCGGTGCCCAGCTAAGGGCTGGGGCAGGGCAGCTGAAGACAGGCCCGTCGGGAGGCACCTGCTGGCGCTCATTTGGTTGGTAATCGGCAGACTGGCCCAGTGCTAAGCTCTGCAGCACAAAATTCATTCAAAACCCACCAGCCTCTTACAAGGCATCAGAGAAGAGGGATGAAAGTGCAACCCCTTCACTGCAGTGGCCTCGATGGCCCGTGAGCGGGAGCCTGGGGTGCAGACAGCGGTGTGGACGTGGTGGGTGGGGGCAGGAACGCAGGAGCAGGGTCTGGATTCGCCCACGAAGCCACAGAGGAGCACCCTCCACAAGGGGCTGGAGAGCACGCAGGGGCTGGAGAGTCTGCGTGACCAAGCTGCTGATCATGAAAACCAAGGTTCAAACAGGTGTCAGTGGGAGAGACGGACTCCCTGTCTTCAGGTGTGTAAGGGGCTGGGGCGGGGCCTGCTCACAGTGGCACTGCCTGAGGTCCTGGCCCATTTCCCCTCAGCATTATCCTGTGTGGTATGTCCTAGGACCATCCTCATATGACAGGTGAGGGGACCTGCTTGAGGCCCCAGAGCACAACTCCAGCCCCAGCACCCGCTGCACAGCAGACCTTGCAGCTCTCCAACATGGGGGTGCACAGGACTCTCCCTGGCTGTTTGTGGACATTGAAGCCCCTAGGGCCCTTCTCCAGAGGGCGTGATCGGGGGGTGGGGTGAGGGCCCTGGTGACCATGATGCTCAGGGTCTTCGGGGTGCACTTTGAGAACATAGTTTCGGGCCACGTGGCTCCCCGTTGGGATTAGAAAGGTTTCTACTCTCCGTGACACTGGGGGAGCCGTTTTGTCTGATGGATGGATGGCTCCCTGGCTGCCCGAGAGAGCATCTCAGCTGCCTCCAGCTCCTGGAGGCCAGTGTGAGACACAGCCCTTTGCAAGTCTCTCTTTAGGGATCCCCGGGGAAGGCCAGAGAGGCTTCCCTTCCCATGAGAGACTTTCCAGGGGGTCTGCATTTTTAGTTGTTCCTTTGGAACTTGGATGCAAGGGCCTTCCAAGAGCTCCACATCTTGAGGGGAGTTGCCCATTTCCTAGCTGATGGAACTGCCTGCGGGGTCATCTTCATTACACCCAGTGGTTTTCTGTCTCACTGGGGCTTAAAACCTAATGGCGCTCTCGGGCCAGGACTCAGGGACATGATGCTAAGAGCTGGGAAGTTCGTGTGGAAACTACAGAAAGCGTCTTTGGTGGGTGATGGAGAAGGAGAGGCTGCACATGGGGAGGAGAGCTGGGTTACACTGGCCCGATCCCGGAGCTGGTGGCCCTGTCCGGCAGAGGCGGGCTCTGTCCCTGTTAATCTCGAGCAGAGGATGCTTCAGCCGGGGTAAAATGCAGGTGCCCCCTCTGGCCTCGTATTGAAGGGATGAAAGGTAACACCTATGTTTTTATTTCCAGAGGGACTTGAAAACTTGAAGAGAAAGGGGACAAGCCACCACGCAGAGCTCCTGCCACAATGGAGACACCCCCGTCCCTCCACGGATTCTGGCTGGAAGCTTTGAACAGGAGCAGATGCCTTCTGGGCTGGGCTTTCCTGCCCCAGCAGCAGAGCCGGAGGGAGGAGCATCTCTACATCGAGAACAGCCTGCTTCTGACACCTCTGAGCAGCCGCTGGGCTAAATGACCTTGAAGTGCCTTTCTGACCTTCAAAAACAGGAACGTCTCCCAAGTGCTGCCCTTTCCCACTTGTCCTTTAGGTTTTCTCGACAGCGGTCCTTCAACACGAGTGACAACCTAAGCGAGTCTCACATGCAAAGCGATGAAGGTCACTCGGTGAAGCTCGGCCCAGAACTGCGGGGACTGTCACTGTGGATGTCACCTCCCACACGTTTTTACCCCCAGGCACCAGAACGACACCCACATTCTCTACTCCGTCTCTTTCTGCACGTGGGAACTTGGTTTCCACATGGTTAGTGTAAGGTTTATGTCCGTTCCAGTCTGCAGCGCTTGGTGCCTGATGTGTTACTGTCCCCTGCGTCCACGGCACACGTGCTCTCCTAACGCAGCCGTCGGTGGGAGCTTGTCTGAATGTGCACTGACCGTTCGTGTAAATTGAAATCACAAGCTTGACTGATTGCAGAGGCTCGAGTCCTTCGATCTCTTCTACGACGTACATTGGGGTCTTGCATTTTTCTGGTAGAGCAGGTTTCTCAGCCGATTGGAATGACTCATATTCTATCGATAGACTTAGAAGCAGAAATAAAGTGGTGGAAGGAGCCAGGGCCACCTCACCCACACAGTGGGTCCTGAGGCAGACGGAGTAGACAGTCACGTGTCCTCAAGAGGCCAAAAGCCCCCCAGCCAGTGTGGCTCACATGGCTGAGCCTCGGGCCGCGCACCGAGGGGTCGCCAATTTGATCCCTGGTCAGGGCGCGTGCCCAGGCTGAGGGCTCGGTCCCCAGCAGGGGGCGTGCGGGAGGCAGCCGATGGATGTTTCTCATCAGTGTTTCTCTCACTCTCTTCCTCTCCCTTCCTCTCTCTCTAAAATCAATAAAAACATTTAAAAAAACACTGTTGTTTAAAGAAAGAAAAAAAAAGAGGCCAAAAGTAACTCCAAGTCTGGTTTGCAGGAAAATGCTCCAAGTCGTGTCACTGAGGGGTGAGAAATCACAAAGTGGAGGATTTTTTCCCCCAGAAGAATGAAAATAGTGATGGTCTTTAAAATCCACCCGCTAGGAATTGGTGTCACATTTTCAGGGTTGGGGAGATGGGCCCTTAAGACAACACGTTCTCTAAGAGCGTTTTCCGACCTCTCCCCCTTTTCCGCCTCTTCATCTTCCTGGCGAAGTGGGGGCAGCGGGAGGGGTGCAGGAAGCGTGGGGTTTGCCGCCCCCTCCGCACCAGCCTGGGTCACTTAGGCCCCTCCGCTCCCCGGGAGCGGCGCCTGCCCCACAAGCTGCCTCCTCCGGTCGGTCCGCAGAGGCATCCCCTCCAGGCAGGGCACCGCGCGGGTGTCCTATAATGCGAGTGGTTCCCAGCCCGGCATTAAAACTTCGTGCTCATTTTCTGGGGAAACCCCCTGTGAAACAAAAGACTTTCACGGCCAAAGCCTTTCCTGAAAGAAAGGGCTTATTGAGCCACATGCTGCCGGGAAAGGACCAGGGCCTGGGGCATGCAGCTCGAACCACCAGCCTAGAAACTCCCCAGCCTGGCCACCAGGTGGGGCTCTGGGCAGGGCAGCCCCTCCCACCGCGTCGTCCTGGCCCAGGGAAAGTTCCAGATTGTGTCCAAGACGGGGCGGCTGCCTCCTGGGCCTGGGATCTTGGTGCTACACCCCACCTCCCCCCTGGCTTGCCAGAGCTCCGCATGGGCAAGAACACGGGGGACCTGCGGAGGGCGGCTCGCCNGGGATCTTGGTGCTACACCCCACCTCCCCCCTGGCTTGCCAGAGCTCCGCGTGGGCAAGAACACGGGGGACCTGTGGAGGGCGGCTCGCTGCCAGGCCATACCTGGAAGTGCCCACCCGCGTCACAGCCACAGGAAGTAGGCGAGCCTGCCAGGCGGGCATCGGGGCCCCAAGGCAAGAGTTCAGGGTACTCCCCCATCCCGCCCACGTGAGAGCCAGGCCTGTGGCTGGGAATCGTGAGAACAGTGCAGCCCCCAGCTTCCCCCAGGCTCAGGCGGTAGCTCCTCCGAGGGGCCTGTGTGAGTGGGGGTGGGGTGGGTGTCACCTTCCCCCGACCGAAGGTGCAGTTTAACCACTCCCGGGCACATTCCCGCTCCTCCAAGACCCGAGGCATCGCCGACCACACAGGCGGTTGTTGAGAAAAACGACCGCCGTGAAATGATTTTTTAAGGTTGTGTTTGGTTGCAGGTAGTCACAAGAACTATGATTTTGGAAACATTCTTATGGGACCAATACTTTTTTTCGATTGACATTTTTATAGCTGTGGGGTCACATGCAGTCATAAGGAACAATACAGAGAGAGGGAGCATAAATGTTGCCCCGTTTTCCCTAACGATTACACAAAACTAGAGTACAGTGTCACAGCAGGGTGTTTTATGGCTGAGGGTATGGTCTATGTTGATGAATTCACATGGGCACTTAGAAACAAAGGTGTGTTCTGTTATTGTTGGGTGAAATGCCCGGTAAATACCAGCTGGATTCTGGTGGTTGGAGCGCCGTTCAGAGCTTTTGTATCTGTGCTGATGGTCTGTCTAGAAGTTTCATCAGTGACCGGGCAGAGGGGTGTCTAGATGTCTCCACTACAATTGTGGGCTTAACTATTTCTCCTTTCAGCTCTATCAGTCTCTGTTTTGTGTATTTTAAAAAAAACATGTTTTTATTGATTTTAGAGACAGAGGAAGGGGGAAGGGAGAGAGAGAGAAACATCGATAAGAGAGAAACATCAATCGACTGCTCCTNAGGGAGAGAGAGAGAAACATCGATAAGAGAGAAACATGTCACCTACTGGGGATCGAGACCGAAACCCAGGCCTGTGTCCAGACCAGGAATCAAACCGGTGACCCCTTGGTTCATGGACCGATGCCCAACCAACTGCACCACTCCAGCAGGGCTCTATTTTGTGTATTTTGAGGTGTCGTTGTTTGGTGAGGACAAATGCTTTTGAAATTTTTAAAGGCAAAATGATTTCTTGAAGGCCATGCAACTGTTAGAAAAACATGGAATCCTTATCTGGAAAAGCGGGGAAGATTGAGCTGCAAAGCAGGGGTTTAAACACCCCATTGAAACACTTTGAACCATGACGTCCCCTTTCTAAAGCAGGGCCTGGAAGTAGAACGTCACAGGCTCGGGTGCGGGTCAGAGCCCCCCCCCGCGGGCGTGGGCACGAGTCTCACCGGGGACCCGGGCTTCCTGCCCCGCGGAAGGAAGCTCGTGAGAGCGCAGGAGAGAGGGTCACACGGGGCACGTCGTGGTCGGACCCAGAGCTGTCTTGTTCCCTTCGTGGGCAGCCTGCACCTTGCCCGCGTACCCCGAATGGGTGCCTGGGACACGCTGGGTGGGACAAGGCCTCCGTGGGCGGGGACGGGCGGCTTCGGCCGTGGGCTTACTGAAATCTAAGAGATAGTGGGCAGCTCACGCCAAGCCTGCGCCCGTGTTTAACTTCAGGGAAGGTCCGAGGAAGCGGGCCATGGGGCAAGCACGTCAGTGAGGCGTGGTCCCTGCCGACCCCTCCAAGGTCAAACACCCTCCGCGGCTGACGCCTGACTCACGGATGGGGGGGACTCACCTCCTTCTTTCTTTCTGGGGACAGCAAAGTCATTACATTTTAGTTTGAAAAATACAGTATTTTTCAATGACAAAAGCAGTTGCTCACTAGAGAAGCATTTCAATGACCAGGAGCCCAGGCCAAGGAAAGCGGTGGGACATTCTTTCTCCCCTCAGCGCCACCCACTGGGGTGGCTTCTTTCTCCCTTTCCTGCCCAGTTGTTTGGAGGCTTTTATCCTGTTCTTTCTGATTTAACACTGTGGCCTGAAAATCCTCCGGGCTGTTACGAACTCCACTGAACTACGCTACTGACGGCTGCCGAGCGTTTACTTCATCACGCATCGCCAGACCAACGCTCGTTACTGGGTTTCCCTTACTAGGAATTTGGGTTGTCTACAATTTTTAATAATAAGATTTCTTTCGTCCTGGCCGATTTGGCTCGGTGGTTAGAGCGTCGGCCGGCAGAGTGAAAGGTCCCGGGTTCGATTCCGGCCAAGGGAATGTATCTTGGTAGCAGGCTCCACCCCTGGCCCCTGTTGGGGGGCATGTGGGAGGCAACCAATTAATGTGTCTCTTTCATATCGATGTTTCTCTCTCTCTTTCGCTCTTCTACTCTCTCTGAAAGCAATGGAAAAAATATCCTCAGGTGAAGATAAAAAAAAAGAAAAAAGATTTCTTTTGATTACATCTTGGTGCAAAATGATGCTTCTGTGTTTAAGATTCTTTCTTTAGGGCATTCCCAAAGCATCACGCTGATTACCCTCTAAGAATCNTACTCTCTCTGAAAGCAATGGAAAAAATATCCCCAGGTGAAGATAAAAAAAAGGAAAAAGATTTCTTTTGATTACATCTTGGTGCAAAATGATGCTTCTGTGTTTAAGATTCTTTCTTTAGGGCATCCCCAAAGCACCACGCTGATTACCCTCTAAGAATCTGACGTTTGTGTTCTTTGCCTCTATCTCTTGGATTTCCAGGGTTTTAAAATTCATGTTGCTGGAGCTCTTTATACTTGAAATTTTTAAACCTTTGTTTCTCATATGTACTATAAACTTTTTCAGTTAAAACATTTTCATACCCAAAGTTTAAAATATTCTATTGGCAGAGTCAAATTTGATCTCTACCTCCCTGTGTTAGATATGTTTAGATGGTTTCTGTTATTGTTATAAGGCTTAGAAATGCCTAAATCTTCCAGAAATTAGTTACGTGTTTATTGCTATTTCCTTTCATTTATGTAAAGCATAGCTGCTGCAGCAACTGCTGTGGTTGTTGGTCAAGAGGTCTAAGTTGGTGGCGATCGTGCCCTGCCCATGTTATGCCCGACTGTCATCTGCTGTCACTTCAGCTGGGTGCGGCTATTTGCCTGGTAGGGTGATGGTGACCCAAATCCCGACTTCTATAGGACCTGGGTCCTTACGCGGCCTGGCATGTATTGGGTCACCTCAGTTTCCATCCACCAGGACCTCTGGGTGAGAAAGCGCCCACAGAGGCCCCCGTGACCCCTTGGGCTACAAGCACCATCTTCCTCATTCCCATTGCGTAGCAGTAACGCAATTTCCCCTGGCACCTGGGGCCGGCCCCGCCTCCTCTGAGTGTTGCCTCCCTGGCATGAAGGGGCCGGAGGGGCCGTGCCCGCTGCCGAGCCAGTGGGCCCAAGAGCGGGTGTCCACGCGGAAGGCAGCCTGTCTAGGACGGCAGCACCCCAACCCGTCGCATCAGGGCCGTGGGGGTGGGAGGCTGAGCTCCTTCGGGCGGTGACTCCCTTCAGTTACGAGGAAAGCCCCTCCTGCGCTGCTGTTTGCCTTCTGGCCGGGCGCGCTTTGGTTGCGAAGGAACCGCGTGTTGCTCTGGTTTGGGGCATAAGCTGAGCGGGAATCCGCCCGCCCGCTGCGGAGCACACAACCCGNTGTTGCTCTGGTTTGGGGCATAAGCTGAGCGGGAATCCGCCCGCCTGCTGCGGAGCACACAACCCACCCTCCTATCGAGCGGCCGCTCCTGGGACGGGATGTGAGAGGACCAGGGCATGGCTGGGACGCTGCTTCGTTCCCTGGCCCTGAGATGCATCGCGACGCGTCCGTGCCCTGGATTCCGAATTCTGTGCTTCAGGCCCCGGTGCTGCCCGCAGCTGCGGCTCGGGGC